AAAGAAAGAAAGAAAGAAAGAAAGAAAGAAAGAAAGAAAGAAAGAAATCTGAGCATACCATGGATGGACAGAAAACAAGTCTAGTTTAAGGAAAAGAAGGGTGGGGTGACATGATAGAAGTCTTGCAATATCTCAGGGCTTGCCACAAAGAAGAGATGACAAAAAGACGCTGAGGCTCTGGAAAGAGTGCAGAGAAGAGAAACCAGGATGATGAGGGGACTGGAGACTAAAACATGCGAAGAACGGTTGCAGGAACTGGGCCTGGCTGGTCTAGGGAAGAGGAGGACCAGGGGAGACATGATAAACAGCCTTCCAGTATTTGAGGGGCTGCCCCAGAGAGGAGAAAGGGGGTCAAGCTATTTTCCAAAACATCTGAGGGCCAGACAAGGAACAATGGATGGAAACTGATCAAGGAGAGATTCAACCTGGAAACAAGGAGAAACTTTCTGACAGGGAGAACCATCAACCCATGGAAGAGAAGTTGCCCTGGGAAGTTGTGGGGGCTTCATCAGTTGAGACCTTCAAGAAGAGACTGGACTCCCATCTGTCAGATATTGTGTAGGGATTCCCGCTTGGATGGGGGGTTGGACTAGATGATCTACAGGGTCCCTTCTAACTCTGATTATCTGTTTTCTCTTTTACCCTCCAGATAATCAGACTCTTTCTTTTAACTTTCTTTTCTTTTTCAGTGCAAGCTCCCTCCCTCCTTCCCTCCATTGATTTCAGAATATATTTCAAAAACCTCTCCCAATCCACGCATTAATTTACACTCCTCCCCCGTTCTCTTTAATCAATGCCAGACTTAACCAAAGACTCGGACATGCCTGCCCAGTGTTCAGCACGTTATCAGTTCCGAACAAAGACGTAAGATTAAAAAAACAACAACAAACGTACTGAATGTTGGGAGTTATTTTTTTTTTAATAGATCTGTTGCTATTAAATGAAATATGAATTTCAGAACTGGTGAATCATCGTGCTGGGGGCAAATGAATGTGACTCATGGCTAAAGGCAATGCGACCAAAATCTAGAAGTTTTTGAAATGTAATTCTCATTATCAGATGCAGAGGACACGGTCTATTCGAAATATCCAGATGCTAGTTTTTCAATTCAGAATAGAGCTGGAAGAGACCCCGGAGGTCCTCTAGTCCAACCCCCTGCCCAAGCGGGAGACCCTTCACCATTTCAGACAAGTGGCCGCCCAGAACCTCCAGTGATGGATGCAGCCACAATTCCTGGTGGCAAGCAGTTCCACTGGTTAATTGTCCTGCCTGTTAGGAAGTGTCTCCTTCATTTCAGGTTGCTTCTCACCTTGATCAGTTTCCATCTGTTGCTTCTTGTCCTGCCTTCTGGCGCTCTGGAGAGTAGGTGGATGGTCACCCTTCGTATTTATGGCAGCCCCTCAAATACTAGAATATTCCTCGCCTGTCCCCCCCACCCATTTCTTCTTTTCTCTAAATTAACCCAAATCCCGCAACTGTCTCCGGGCCTTTAATCATCCTAGTTGCTCTTCTCTGCATTTTTTTTCTAGAGTCTCAACATCTTTTTTACAATGTGGTGACCAAAACCGGAGGCAGGACTCCAGGTGTGGCCTTACTAAGGCTTTGTAAGTGGTACCAATTTGGCGTGGTTTTGATTCTGTGCTTCTGGTTATACAACCAAGGATTCTATTAGCTTTTTTGGCTGCTGCTACAAACAGCCGGCTCGTATTTAAGTGATCGTCCACTAAGACTCCAGCTGTTTGTCTGGAATGGTATAAGGTCTCCTGCTTGAGCAGGAGGTTGGACTAGATGACCTCCAAGGTCCTTTCCCAACTCTGTTGTTCTGTAAAAACAGCAGGAGGCCACAGAAGCAAGTCTTCAGACAAAAAGCTTAAAAGAGACTATGTGGCCTAGTTGCTAGGTTCTGCATCCATCCATCCATCCATCCTTCTTCTCCCTTTCCCTTCCTTCCTTCCTTCCTTCTCCCTGTCTCCCTCCCACCGATCCTCCCTTCCTTCCTTCCTTCCTTCCTTCCTTCCTTCCTTCCTTCCTTCCTTC